CCTTTATCTGATAGTTTTTCAGGTGCCACAAATGAAAACTTTCAGAAAGCAAACCCGTAACATGATTTCTGTGTTGCAATGTTACGAATAAAATGCTGACTTTTTTCAGTTTTTATTACATTTAACTAATCAAGATCCATGTTTTGTTTTTATATAAATACTGTGCCTGTATGTACTGTAACATTTTAATCAAAACACAACATCATTGGAAGAGACTGATAGCTTACCAAATTTTCCTTCTCACACTTACAGTGATATTATCAATAATGTACCCTCTTCTAGTTTCTCACACCTAGTGTAGAAGTAGTGTTTGGTGTTGCATTTATATATTTTTTGGTAAGTTGTGATATTTTTTTTTTCTTTTTGTACACGTACAAAAAATACAAAACATTTTTACATGAAGTCTTATTTCACCACTTAAAAATCCATGTGAGCATTATATGACTAGCATCATTATCTGTATGGAGACAAAATTTATAAAATTTTATATTAAACTACTTTCAGGGTATATGTTATTTATATAAAACTACCTTCAGGTATACATATAAGTTGTGTTATGAAATGTAAAGGGATATTGTGTTTATGTTTAGGTTCCATTCGCAAGCTGCCCCATTTTTATAGATGTTATATACAAATTAAATAGCCTGTATTCCAAAATCCCCAAAAATCTGAAAACCAAAGCATTTTGGATAAAGGATTCTCAACCTGTATTTGCTTTTTTTTAGTTTGAACTTCAGATTATAGTCTTTTACAGTATAGATTCAAGAATTCTGAAACATTAACTAGTTTTTGTTTATTGTATAACAGAATGAGGAAATCACCTAAATACTTTAAAAGGACTCTGTAGTTTAAGGGCTACACACACACACACACACACACCCACCCACCCATTTTTTGGTTGTTATCTCAATGGACAACAAATTATGTATTTTTTTTAGGAACTGGAAATTATTGGAAGAAATGTTCTCAAGATATCAATTTCTACACCAAAATAGCTGAAGAGATGTAATATAATTTTGCATGATAGAATGCTTCATTATTCATGAGTGAATAATAAAAGGGATTGACAATGTTGTCAAAGAGAATCCTTCATTTCATCCAGCCTAGAGGGTGGATCACTGAATTTTGTGAACAGCCATCCAGGCGAAACTGACACCTTCTCTACAAACTGTAATTGGCCATGCTAAGTTAATAACTGGCAATGCGGAATTTCCTATCAGTAAAAAGAATATTAATTGCCAACATAAGGAGGATTGCTAGAAAGAAATTAATTCTTGAATATCTACTCCACATTCACAAAAATACAATTCAATATTAAAGATGCTAGTGTTAGGTGCTTGCCTTAAGTAAATCAAAGGTTCAGTCTACTGAATGAATATAATTAAATTTGTTCTGACTTAAGGCTTCCATATGGAATTGAAAGTATCAAGTAAAAAATCCACAAAATTTGAAGTTAAACATACCCTAAATCTTTTTTAGAACCTAAAATGCATTTTTGATTAACAAGTTGAGAGAGAGAGAGAACAGAAGGATGATATTATTTGGTCCAATAGCTGAAGAAAAAAAAAATTGCTAAAATATTTGATGCCTATCAAACCAGGATGTCATAACATGGGATAAAATGAGTAGTCACAACATACCTGACAAGTATCTCTTATTTATTTCAAAGGGAATTTCTCTTTTCTTGAATCGTTTTACCCTAAGCAAATGTTTAATTGCATGTAAACCTTTTGTCTAACCTGCACAAACATCCATTAACCCCATTATAACACCACTACTCAAAGAAATAATTTATCCCCCCCACAACATTTTTTCACACCAAGCAAAGTGATAATGCTACTAAGTTCCAAGGTAGTGAAAGAGAATGAGAAGACTTTAGCAAGGAGAAAAGACAATAAAAGAGAAAGATTCAGGAAGACACAAGATGACAATTATATTTAAATTTTTGAAAATTGTTGGTGGTAGTGAAGCAAAAAATCAGAAAGAAGTTCCATAGATGAGAAAAGAAACTATTAGAATAGAAAATATGGTTGCATCTTGACAGTAAAACAGTGAGGCCTAATTATATTCTGATTTTGTCAAGATATTATTTGGAACTATGATGTTTATTATAAAACCAATATAGCAATATCATATGTCAACAAATCATAAAGAATACATTATCAATGTGTTATGATAAAATACAACTCATTTATACCAATCTGGGTGAAAAGAATTCTTGAAACAGAAATATCTGAAGAGAATTATTGTATATGGCATAGGGGAGGTCTTAGCAGTGAAGCTTAAAACTGGAGGAAATGTCGAAATTTAGCTTAGTAACAGCCAAACTCAGCGCAAAAAAGGTTAGGAAACTGTCATTACGTCCAATGACGGGAATCCCACGTAACACAGTTAACAGAGACCTGAAACCATGAATATACAACCATAACAAGCGAGATAAAGAAGAAGGAAAAACCACTTGAAATAGCTATAAAATTTATTGAGGGAAAAAAAAAAAAAAATGGGGGGGGAATAGTCTGATGTTAAAGTTCACTGGTACAACTTGAAAATAACTGCCAAAAACGTCCCTTTGGCGAGCCCTTAAAAAGGACTCCAATAACAGTTCAGAGAGAGTGAAAGAGGTAGAGAGATAGCAGAAAGAGGGGAAAAATTAGACTTACTGTTCAAAAAAAAAAAAAAAAAAAAAATAGCTTTAGTATTTTTTTTTTAAGTAGCTGGGCAGAAAGGTTTTTAGATATTTTTTTTGAGTTGCTCTCCTTGGAAGATAAGCAAGCTTCCTTTTAAGAATAAATGCAGACTTGTTTTTTCAAACTTTCTCTGCAACACAAATTCAACTTCAAGAGACGACTTAGATCTTTTTTTTCACATACTTTTTCACGTCAGAATTTCGTCCACCAATAGGACAAAATAACTCCTCGAAGGAAGGTAGCTTTTCAATCGCTTAATTTTGACTTTTTTCTCTCTTCGACCAGATTGTCGAAAGAAGACTTCCTTGAGAATATTCTATTGTAATTCTCTTTACAATAATTTCTTTAACTTATTTTTTGATAAGTCTTTACTGATTTGTCCTTGGTTGCTGAACAATAATCCACTTGACTACTAGAACAGACTTGACTTCACTTGTCTAGAGAATAAGCTTTTTCCACATGGCGAACACGCTTGTTCTTTATCTTCAATTCTCTTAGACAAATATTCTCGACTGGTCTTTTATGACCGTTTTCCTTGTCAGAGCAACAACAGGTTATCTTCAAGCAGGTTTCTTTTTCGTCACAAGACAAGATGACTTATCGTCTCCACACTGCGGCGCCCTTTTTCTGCTACTACTGACTAGATTCCTCTAATCTAGTCGAAAACAAGCGGGAAAATCACGTACGATCAATCGTTAGACACGATTTCGCCACCTTACACTGCACACAGGGGGAAAAGGAGAGGAGGAAGGAAAGTAAGAGAGATAGAAAGATAGATACAGAAATTAAATTTCTGACAGAAATAAAGAATGTAGTTCATCTGAATGCAGCAATAGAAAGGCTTGTAACATTTCATCTGTGAAAAAAGGGTTGTAGGGTAGAAAATAATTCTCTATCCACAAGGACGCAGAGATGCTTTTGAACTAGCAAGACTGAAAACTGGACAGCTCTTGTATATATATATATATGGCAGCAGTATTCCATAAACTTCTTTACAATTTACTTTATTAAAAATAATTAATTAAAAAAATATTCATTAATTAAGGTTTTAATCCTTAATAAATAACTTTTATTCAGTTACAGAAAAAATTATGCTCTTCTAGTTCTGCATTGTTTCTATCCTGAGATGTCTGTGTCTTGATTTGTCCTGGCACTCAACAGTGTTCCGTTGTCTCTTCCTGATGAGCAAAGATTTGCCTATAATAAGTACATCAGCTTCCAGAAAAGTAAAGAATGTTGATTTTTTTGTTCAAGATCATTCTTGTACCAACTCTTGAATACCTATGTCATCAGAAAAACCTTTTTCATTGTCAGTACACTAGCCTCTAGAGGGAAAACATGAACACTGTTCTATTAGTAGATTCATTTGGAATGTGGTACAGAAAGTTAAAATACCAAATTACTATAAAGTAGAGTTGAGACATTTTAACTTCAGAATTCATGGAAGAATTGAGCTCCAATTTCGCATTTATTCATATAGATTTAAAAGCACACAGTTATTACACAGACAAACTACAAATTTTATATATTTTATTTTCAGATATATAACACTGAGCTTTACATATTCACAAATTTGGATTAAAATTGGAGTTACGATGAGACAATGAATATCTATTAAATATGATAAAAAAGATTTGTCCAAAATGCAAAGTAAATAACGAAATACATTTTAGTCCAATGTAATCAAAATATTTACTCCTCATAAAACTCCTTATACAGGGTGCAGCAGAAATACTTCCTAGAAATATTTATCTTAATATCATGTGGGAGATATTTCAGCCACACCCTGTATAATCTATATTTATAAAATATTGTAATTACTGATAAATGCTTCCTTAAAGTTCCAAATTTTTACAAAATTTAAATCAAACTAATTTTAAATAAATTTAATTTTTACAAAACTCTTAAGGAATAATTAAGGAAAGAAAAACTAAATTGCACTAGTTTTTGAGAAAAATGTATTTACAGAAATGTCTTTATTGGCAGTTCAACAAATTTCATAATTTAGCTGATATAGCATTTCCTGAAAAAAAAGAATTTTTTTTTTTGTCATATTACTTTTATTGGATTCAAATGCAAAATAATTGGCCTCAACAACATTAAATTCTTCATCTTTGATTTCTGATCAGGTTACCTTTATTTACTTCATTATAAGAATTAGCATTTATACAAATATTTTTCTGAGTATAACATGATTAATCTGCTAGCAAAAACTCTTGTGCCTAAGAAGGTCTTCTGCTATTCAAAAGGATAAATGGAAATTATATATTACGCATGACACATCAATGTATATCAAATGAAGTGAAGACTTACCTAACAATGCTTGGAATAAACGACTTTTAAAAATCCTTATGACGCGCTCTATAGCATTTTTTAGAGCTTTGTCTTGTGGTTTAGTGAGGCGACTGTGATAATCCTCCAAGAGTTCTAATGCCCGGTGGGCGTCTGAAATGAAAAAAAAAAAAAAAAAAAAGATTTAAAATGTCATAATTATAGTTTATTCATAAAAAAATTTAACTGAGAAAATATTATTAGTCAATGTCAATTATATGCAAATATGGAGGAATGGAGAACTGAGTTTTTATAGATTTATGTTGTACATGATTAACTAACAAAAGAATATTTGGAGAACAAACAAAAAAATTATTAAATTTGTTTATATGTATCCAAAAGGCAAGCTTTTATTATTATATACTTAGATTATCTAAAATGCTAAAACTTTTTTTTTTTTTAACCTTTGGTAACAAGATTGATGTACACTACTGCATCAAAAAATGTTGTATTCATTGTTGTTGTACCTAGATTAGCATTTTTCTTATTGAAATTTCAATTATATTTTTCTTTTTGAAAAAATAACTACCATACATGCACAAACCTTTGTTTTATTTAGAAAAAAAAAGGTGAAAATAAGAATGAAGGAAATTAAATATTCAGTCAGAATGGCATGAATGTCAGTTAAAATTTATCAATTATATAAAAGAATTATAAAATGTATAAATATAAATGAAAAATGGTAAATGCGTAAAAGGCCAAGTAATCTTTATATGCTAATATTTTTGCATTAATTAGCAAAATTCATTTCTTGATTAAAGTGTTATTCAATTTCATATTAAAGTATAAATTCACTTTAAAACTAATTACATAAAGAAAAAGAAAAAACAAAATTTAAATGCTATTTTAAAAAAAATGCATAAACTCGGAATTTGATAACACAGAAAAATAATTTATTGGGATTAATTATTCATGTGTATTGCAGCTAATAGATTTCTAATACTTTAACTTCATTACAGAGGATGGAAAGTGTGACACCGAGATGGCTAAAGATGCATTCCCAAAACTAAGCAGTATATTAAGAAACAAGAAAAAATTTTGTTAGAAACAAAGAAAAGAGTACTGAACTGTTATGTGATAACTGTCCTCCTATATGGCAGTGAATACTGGACAATCTCCTCAAACTTGAAGAGACTTGAAGCAACAGAAATGTAGTGCTACAGAAAGTGAGGATACCATGGACCAAACATGTAAGGAATGACAAGGTTTTAGAGAAAATTGAAAAAAAAAAAAAAGAAAAAATGAAGGACACTTATACTTAAACATCAGGATGAGACAGATGAAATTTCTTAGGTAGGTTATAAAAAAAAAAAAGGAAACTCACAGGACACGAAAGAGGGACAAAGACTGGCTCGAGCAAATGGATGGTAGAACAGGTTTTGGGAGAAATAACAAAAAGACAAAATTTATTGAAAATTACAAGGAATAGGAAGATGTGGAGGGCTATGATCACCTACGTCCTGAAGTGACAAGGCATATAAAAGAAGTATTCATCATGGTTACAATAGTCAACCTTCAATCTGCCACATTAAGTAATCTAAGAACTTTGTACTGGTATATAACTAGATTCAGAAAGTAAATTTAATATGGGCCATCAGGTAATGGAAATCTGGAGCCATAAATCTGTCCGTTCTATCCTAATCACAGATACATACATGGCGTTTATTTCTGCCAAGGAGATTAATATTAGAGAATAACATATACAATGGATCTTCTTTTCCAGTATTGCTATTTCATAATCTAACTTAATTTTAAAAAGGAAGACTGGTAGCATCCTTTTCCTTTCATATCTGATTTAATTGTCTTCTTGGCTTACATCAATTCTTCAAGACTTAACATTTGGGGGCAGCTGATCTAACCTTGGTATTGAAGTAGTTGCATTCCAAATAATTTTTTTTTTTGTTTCTCAATTCACCCCAAGCAAAGTGATAATGCCTTTAAGATACGAGTGGCAACTGGGAGTGAAAAAGAATGAAAATAATTTAGAAGGAAACAGAAACCCAATCCTAAACAATAAACAAAGGATAAACCTCTATGACTGTTCAAAAGACCAGGGAGGAGAAAAAAGAAACAGATGATAGGTGAACCGATTTACATACAAGCTCATAAATTTAAATTTTCTTGAAACTTGTTAACAAGTTATCCAGACCAAACTAGGAGAGTTGCTTCACTGTGCTAGACAATTTTTATTGCTAGAATCTATCTTGCACGTTCATAGATCTACCATGTGTTGAATATTGCTGCCATATCTGGACTGGTGCTTCTGCTATATATTTAGAGGTTCTTGATAAAATACAAAAAAGAAATTGCAATGTTACTGGTTCTGACTTGCATCTTGACTCAGTCACTTTCCCACCACCATAACAAAGATTCCCTGTGCCTTTTCTATAAATATTTTCATGGTAATTGTTCTGATGAGTTTTCCTCTTTGGTACCTAGATTTTACAGATTTAAGCACAGTACTAGATTGGTAGTTCAGTTTCATCATTTTACAGTTGCAATGGTTAGATGCAACTGAAAGTTCTATGTTAACAGTTTCTTCTGCACTTTTTGCTTGCAAAATTCTCTTCTGGCTTCTTGCTTTCCAGTTAATTTTAAAGACAATGTTAATTGTTATCTTCTGTCTGCTTAATTCTTTCACACTCAGTAATTCCTTGCATCTTAGTGACTTTATTGCCTTTATTTGGGATGAAATGATTAAAAAAAAAAAAAAAAAAATTTTAGTTAACAGTAAAATCTTATGGATGAAAAACTAAACACTTGGTAAGCAGAATTTTAAGATGCCACACTCAGGTAGGAACAAAGTGACATGTAAATGAGCAAAACATGATCATCAAAGACAATCACCTAATAAGAGAAAACATCAAATTTGAAAGTTTCAAATATATAACCTCTTTGAAAATACTAATTTTTTAAACAGAATCAGGTAACCGATATCCATTAGACATGGCACATGAAACTAGAACAGTCTACATAAGCGAGCGAAATAAAGGGTTTAGTTCAACATTTCAATCACCTGAAGAAGGCCGGAGCGTACAACAGCTGAAATGTTGTGATAAAATGGCTACAAAGATGAGGATGATAGTCCAAACAATGTAAATAGTATACATAATACCTCATCTCAGAAATATAGACAGAATCAGGTAAATATTCCTATGCTGTATTAATATAAATTTACAATAAAAGTACATTTATTAAATATAAAATGAATTAACTCTAAGCTACAGATTTACTTAAACTCTTAAATGTATGCCCAATTACATTATGAAATAATGATAAAAAAGAAAGAAAAACAGATCTCAAAAACAGGTGTAAATGTCCATACACAATTACAGGAAAAGTTATCTTGTCTTCTTTCATAACTGGCTTTTTGGAAAATGGAATGAAACAATGCAGGTGGCCCTGCTGCCAAGATTTGCATAGGGATTCTAGCACTGATTTGTACAGAAACATTAATGCTTGGTTATTGGCCAGTCACAGCTTATCTGTGGTTGGGTATATGTAAAATGAGCATTTTTTTTTTTTTTTTAAGTGAAAGTGCATTCTCCCAGCTCTGTTTTTGGTATGAAGGACAGAAGTTTGGATTTGTTTTGTGTTCTTTGCATACACTTTTCCAAGCAATGCAATGACACCATTAACAGAAGGTTTTGTTTTTCTTAGATTCTAGATCATATGCTTTAATTACAATGAAAGTGATGAGCATAAACATAAGAGCAGCATGGCATGTACCTTCTTAATATCACCAGATGAGACCTTAATGTTATTTGAGTTAATCAGAAACTACCAATTCTGAATGATTCCATTTGGTGTGAGATATGGAGTTATTATTTTTCAACAGGTTGCAAACAGAATTACAAGTGATAAGTATTGACAGGATACTTTTCCTTGTATTGATTGACATGAGTAAGATGAGCATTTATGTCACAACCAAGATGAACCTTCAGCTTAATCCTGATAAATGTTTCTTAAAAATCATTTCTCTTTATAAGGTCATCAAATTGAGCATAGTAAACATTGTCTTGATCCAGAGTATCACTGATTTTTTAATAAAAGATATCAACACTCTTGAGAGAATTGGAACTGTTTGTTTTCTATTTGGATTATTTCTTACTTGGATAAAATCCCAAAACTGACAAATATTAAGACTTTCCCCTGAACTGCAAAGAAAGGGCTGTCTTCCATTTACTGAAGGCAAAACCATCAATGACATTTCAAGTAGGATTTGAGGACAATGATTTATTTGTAATTCATATCAATACATCTGAAAGGTCAATAGGTCAAACACTGAGGTCAGCTAGCAGACCTATCACCTTTTCCTATTCTTTAATCCTTTCAAACAGACATAATTCATTTCAAAAAGACATACCATAGAATAATGTGTGAGAAAATGATACTGTTATCTAGCTAGTAGGTATTTTACTAGTAGCACATATCATTTATGTTCAAAAACATTTGGGGGGTGGGATTAAGAATTATTAATGCAAAAGGTAAATATTTGATTTTTGCATATTATTCATAAGGTATCTTGCACAAATCTGGAAAAATGATGCAGTAGCTGATTTAATGCCTTGTTTACTTACTGTTCATAACATCAATAATTGTAAGCACTTTCAGCTCCACAAGGTAATGATGGAAGCAAAGACAGATAGAGTGGCAGTTTGAATAAAATAGTTGTCATCTTTGTATGGATTCAACTTTTCAGTATCCAATCTCATAATTCATCTTTCCACCCTAAGCACAAGAGAACACTTGCCTTCTATTCTGGCAATTAATTCAGTCAAACATACTTTAAAATTTATGCATAAACAATTTGATTACACTTCTTAAAAAAACAAGATGAAATCATTTGGCCAGAATGAGCCATCTGTCAAAGCTGGTAATCTTAAAATAAATAAATATAAAACAATAAAGAGGTTTACAGTTTGCATAAATTGTAAAATAAACACAGTTAAAAGAAAAATTCTGTAAGCCTTGCTAAGTTCAGTCAACATATGAAAAAGTTAAACATTGAATTATAAAAATGATTGCCATTTCTTTTTCATTGTCACTGATAAATAGGCCCAATATTTCGATTTTGATACTAACTCAGATGTGCCATTCTGTTTTAATAAAAT